ATACAACTAATCAGTGATGTGTTTACATAAACAGAATTTTTAACCAAACAATAGCATCTTTTCTCTTTATCTTCGTTGTCACTTTCCACATCTTTGTTTTGTTTATTGTGTACTTTTTTTAATTATGAAGTTTTTATTATTTATTATCTGTACTCTTCTATCTTTCGTAATGTTTTGGTAAAAGTTTATATTTTCCTCGATATCTTTAGAAAACGCTTATATTATGCCTAACTTTTCTTTATCATTTTTCATTTCCCTCACTTTTCAGGATCTTCCAAATAAGAATAAATCCTGTAATAAAAATGCAGCAGAAATTACAAAAGATATAGCATCTAGAAGTATGCGGTGAAATTAAAATTTTTATTTGATTACCTCAACAATTCTAAACCAGAAATAAATAAAAAATATGTATTCATTTAACAGTTTTCAGTATTTTAATATTTTGTAACTATACACAGATCCATTTCCTTCATTTTAAATCATTATTATATTGATATAAAATATTCATTTCCAGATGTTATTTTTTTTGAATGGTGAGTAGCGGAGTAGAATTTGCCTAAAGGTGACACATGCTTTGCCAGAACTGAATTTTACAGGCAGTATTTTAATGCCATTAATACGATTAAAATCTCTGCGTGTCTGTCTGTTTGTAACATTATCTCCTCCGGAACGGCGGGGAGTTGAGTTTTGAGAGAGGTAGGCCTGGATTCCAAATATTCGTGGGAAGCCATTTAAACCATTCTCATCTTCGCACGATTTTAATCAGCCGACATATAACACTGGCCTTCAAAATGAAAGGATAATGGAAAAAAGGTATGCTCAATAAGCTAATATCGCAACCAATGCTTTAATTATTTATGTTAATTAAATACAATTGAATATATAATTGCACTTCCGCTCATACATTAGCGCCGGAAATATGCACATTCGGTGACTGACAATGTGGTGCACAATGGACGCATATTGGAATTCTGGTCTGTCGTGTTCTCTATAGTGAATGTGGTTTCTGAGAGTGATCAGTATTCAGTAGTTATGGATCAAAGGAATCATTGAAGTGAAGGTCAAAAGTGGCGATTAATTGATAGAATCGAGGGAGGTCAAACACCAATGGAAGCCGCCCAAAATTTGAATATCTATCAAGGTATCATATCAAGAGTTTGGAGCCGCTTTTTAAGCACTGGATCAGTTAACTGGCAGTCCGGTTATGGGCGACCGAGAGCAACAACTGCCATCATAAGACCGTTTTCTATCGTTGTCGGCTCGAAAAAAGCGTGAAACGACTCCAAGAGATTTGGTTTTCGGGCTGTTACAGGTACTCGAATTAGGCGTTCTACAGCTGCAAGAAATCTTAATGAGGGTGGACTGTCTGCGAGAAAACCAATGGTTTATGTCCCATTTACTCCAGCTTCCAGAGGGGGCCCGTTTTAACTGGTGCCGTTCTCATGCTCAATGGAGAAAAGACGACTGGGTCCGAGTATTGTTTACTGACGAGTCCAGATATAGTCTAAAAAGTGATACTACGTGTTTTGATCTGGAAAGAAGAAGGAACACACAACTTGCCTTCCCTTGTCGTTGAAATATCCTGTTTCCGCCACCGCGGTTTAATGATTTGGGTTTGGTCTGGTTTATGTGATAATGGCAAAGCCTCGAGGTCTATTTGCCTAAGAGGAGAGGGATTTTCTAAAGAAAACTGGTTCGTATATATGTTACACACGGGGAAAGACACGAAAACGCCCACCCAGCCAGCTTATTCGCGGGATTTGAACCTTGGACCGAACTACCAGTGTTCAGCGACTTGACCACTAGACGGCTGGTGGACTTAATAATTTGGAAGGAATCTTACCAAATAGCCGCACTTAGCTGCATATCATTCAAGATTCTGTAACCGCTCGCAGACACACTGAAGAGGGAAAACATCATAATGCATTGTTGCGTTTTTCTTTTCTGACACCACTTGTTACGTTATTTTTTCCTTCACGTTCGTACGGGGTTCGTGAGGATTTGGAGTGAATTTTACTTGGATTTGGAGTGAAATTACTACTTGATGAAGTATCGAAACACACTTCATTGGCCAGTATTTTCAGGACAGCTCCAAAACGTTATTACAGTCGTCGATGAACTACTATAAACACGCTAACACGATCAGCGACACAGACTCCAGGTTATCAGGCTATCACGGTGGAGACGGCTTCACGGCAAAGCACTAGCGTACAACTCGCGACTCTGCTTGGTCATTCTCGGAACTCCACGTACTCTCAAGACTCTCCACGCTACAACTCACGATGCACTCGACGACACACACAGCACAGCTCCTGAGTCTTCAGTTCAGTCGTTCCCGGAGCTCAACACGCTCTCTCGACGACTAACCGTGAAACTCTACGAGACTCTTTCGGTGCACTCGACGACCCACTCGGCACTCGCTGCCTGGCTGTCAACTCGATCGACTCCGCAGGGATTGACTCGCTAGACGAGACACCAACCCGATACTAACTCGCACTCTGACGAGACACACTCTCTATCAGCTCGCTAGGCGAGGCACTCACTAACTGACCGCGACCAGCAGAGTTTATATCTTAGCCTTGTTCGAAAACATTTGGGCTAAATGGTAAGATTGGTTCAGAGTTCGCATCGTCATGGCATATGCCAATTGTGTCGCCCAAGCAAGTTCGCCAATATGGCGACCTGCCTTCCTTGCATTTATGGACCTAAACCTGCTTTGCGGGAAAGCCATCTTACCGTGCCCGTACATTTCGTAACAGTATTATGATGCCTCGTTAATAACGCATTGCGCGACCTTTGGCCTGCAAAACAGCTACAACTCGCCTTGGTATGGATGCAACAAATTCTTGGTAGATGATTGGAGATAGTTGTACCAAATGCCTAAGCAGCGATACCAAATGTCTAATGTCGAGATTTTCCGACATGTTGGTATCTGGGCTCCGAGCTGCCGCTCCATGACATCTCAAATGTGATCTATTGGGTTATGATGCGGAGAATTAGGTGGCAATGACATTAATGGGAATTCAATTCTTATGCTCCTGAAACCACTCCAACACCATCCGAGCCTTGCGACATGGGGCGTTGATCTGCTGGAAGATTCCATTTCCAGTTGGAAAGACAGACGCTATGTAAGCGTGCAACTGATTCGCAGCTTCATGGTCTGTTTTACCACAACTAAGGATCCCATAGCAGCCTCTGAGAACGTCTCCCCCTCAAAGCATAATGCTGCCACCACCAGTCTGTGTACGCCCTGCCGTACAGGGGAAGCAACTGTTCATCTGGAAGATGGCGTACCCTGACATGACCATCGACGTGATAAGAGTTCGTGATTTATCCAACCAGACAACTGTTTTCCACTTATGCAAGATCCAGTCTCGATGTTCCCGAGCCCACTATAGGCGTAGTTGACAATGATTCTTGATCAACATAGGCACATGAGTGGGATGTCTGTTGCGAAGTCCCATATACAGCAGTGTCTGCTGAACTGTGTGTTCCGAAACACTTACATCTGTATTATATTGCCGCGAGACAGTGTGCCGATTTTGGTGTACCAGGCGGGACAGTCTCCGACATCCTTTTTCTTTGATGACGCGTGGACACCCAACATCTTGGAGTCTGCTGCTGGTTTCCCCGTCATTTATCCATTTTGCATAAATACTAACAATGGCAGATCGTGAACATTTTACCAGTCTGCAGTTTCGGAGATACTCGTTCCGAGTCTTCGGGCCATTACAATCTGCTCTCTATCAAATTCGCTTAGATCAGCAGCTTTTCCCATCACTCGCAAAAGTAACAGCAAGAATGATTCCTTATCTTCTGCATACTATTCACACTTAATCCCGTGCCCTCCAGACGAGTTCATTAAAAATATGGCCATAATGTTTTGGCTCGTTAGTGTATGTGGACGAGGTATTGCATCTCTGTATTAGCTGTTTAGGAGTGCTGTTGGCCCAAAGTATTTGCCAATGGGTGACAATGCTCGGCCTCATCACGCATATATAGTATCAGAATATTTGCCAACAGAAGATATATCCCGAATGGACTGGCCACCTTACTCTCCCGATTGAACACGTGTGGGATGCCTTAGGGGGCCAAACTCAGGGCGCAAATCTCTCCCCGGAGCCTTCAGGAGCTGAAAAGTGCACTTCTAGAAGAGTGGCGTACAGGAGGCAGGCAGGAGAAGACAGGTGCTAACTACCAAGGTGGGCAAAAGCCAATAGGCTAAAACGAGGCAGAGCACGTCAGCTGAGAAAAGGGGCCCCAAAGAAAAGCCAATCGGCTAACAGGGAAAGGGGTGCCTTACGGCTAAAAAGAAAAGAAGCAAAAAGCTATAAACTGGTCTAAGAAGGGAAGAGCCTTCATGGCTAAAAAAAGGAGGGGGGGAACAAAAAAACAAATAAATAAAAAATTACGTTTTTTTTTTTGTCATTATCCTTTAATTTTGATGACCAGTATAAATAAAAACTCTGAAAACACTCTGAAACGACACAAGCAGAAGGAATTAATGCAAGTGGCTAAACATTGATAGAGTAATCTCATTTTGAATCTTGAATTCTTACAAATGCAATCCTAACACTTTGTCATCACAGTGTATGTGTTGCAAAGTAAAAGAAATCACTTATCATATCACACAAGCCAGCAGGGGGGGGATTGCTATCGACACATACTACAATTTTTTTTCAAAAAAATTATGCTTTATAATAATCCTATGGACATTTACAAGAAAAAATATTTTTAACCACAGAAATTTATAAGAAGACAGATGTCTGTTACGAATAGTGAAAACTATTCAAAGCAAAAACAAATGTATTAAATTATTATATTAAGAATACTCCCATCCTATAATTCTTTGTAAAAGCATACATAGCCATGCACAGACTTTTCACAAAATTACTTATGCTTGGTTTTCTTCAAAAATGTTTCTTACATTATGATTACAGCAAGTCAGTTTTAAATTTCAAAACAAATCTTTCAACAATTTTTAAACCAAAACCAATTACTTTTTTTTTAAATAATTTATTACATCACATTGTTTGCTAACATTCAAGTGCTTTACCAATAAAATGCATATTAATTCATGAAAACACACATTTTTCATTAAAAATATTGTCATAAACATGAGTCATAAAATAATATTTAATTGTTTAATATAATTTTTCTAAAACTTAATAATTTTAATTTCATGAACAGAATTCATCAGAAATGCTGAAACATAACAGAATCTGAATGAACAAGATTTAAGATCAATCTAATTAAATACAACAAAATTCAGAATGATTTTCATAAATGCACACATAAAATGAAATATGAATGCATAAATGTCAAGTTTATGTAAGTCTACTTACAAATCACATTTATAAATAAAATAATATTTATAATAAAAGGTTAAAACATAACACTCATATATCTTTAATTTATGTACATATTTATATACATACAAAATAAAGAATTCAATTGTTTCACATAGATCTTGTAAAGATTAAAATTTACAAAACACAAGTGAAAGAAATTACAATTCAGGCCCTTTAAAAGTTTCTGTTAAAAAATTATAGGCTTACAATCATACTCACTTGATTAAACAATTTTAAATCATTAGAGATTATTAATCAAAATTCAGACATTTAAATATTATTAAAAATACAATCAGAAAACAATGACTATATGGAATATAAATAAATTTTAAGCAAACACGCTTTCAAGAGTCAGTATAAAATGGATAAAATTAATTCTTTTGCTAAAATTAATAAATCAAAACTTAATTCATTAAACTTATATATGAAGTAAGGACATGTGTAAATGAAGTTTGCAAACAAGTTATATTTTCAAATTATTCATGAGTTCATACTTATACAAAAATATCATTAGAAAAATATTATGCTAAACCAGTAAACAGAATCCAAAATACATTTAACATTCTTTTTAAAATTTAAATCACATGCATTGATACACAATCTTACAATTCATGAAATTATATTCCTCTTAATATATAACATAAAAAGAACATAATTCGATGTATTCTGAAATACTTATGTTAATTGTTTCTCACTTACAATAAAACTATCACAAATGATTAATACTGAAAACAATTTCAATTCGAGATACTAAATATATACACATTGCTGTTATTTCAAAAATGATTTTCTTCATTTTAACATTTTGTTATAATTCTTCTTGAAAATTTAGTTGATGTTTTTGCAATAGATTTTATCAAAAGTGTTAAGTGGCACACAGCTGAATAACTGCTAAGGACTGACATTAGCACCCACAGTAACCACAAAATGAAAGGAAGTGAAATATGGAAAATTACAATAAGCACTGGATACTGTAGGAAGAGGTGTACATATGCAACTTTTAACTTCCTCACCAGTTCACAACATGATGGCACCAATAAGAGATTTAAAGGATTTGACACATGTGTGCAGTTGTACCAAGCGAAAGTTTTACAGGAAAACTGTAACTAACGATCTTGAAAGTGTTGGTATTCTTCCCGACATCATTTGGATGATTTTCCTTGTGGTCTTGGAAAGATCAAAAATGGATTCAAAGAAAAGGTAAAAAAATGGGCAAAAAATATCAGAAGTTGCCAGGAAGTTCAACATCGCCCATATTGTTGTTTCATGATTGTGAAGAGCATTTTAAACAACTGGAACGTGTAGCCAGTGCTAGGGAGGATGTCATGTTAGATATACGATGTCTGCAGTAGACAGGGCAAAAACTGGCACACCACAGCTCAGCAGAAGCCAAATAAATTTACTGCTGCCATGGGAAAGCAGCCAGATACTGTAGCCAGACTACTGTTCCTCTGAAAAGGACTGTATGCCCACAGACTTGTATTTGTTTTATTGCTCAGACAGCACCGTTCTATTGTCTCATACCGCCCAATTTGCAATGGTGTTGAGAGCATCATAACTGAACTGAACAGTACTGGGCTTGTGTATTGTTCTTAGATTAGAATACCTTCAGTCTGTTACTGGATTTATACACACCAACAGATCTGGAGTGAGAATGGTGCTGCTTATTGTCCAGAAAATATCCATGAAAGGGACCGCTATCTGAGATAAATGATCATCATAATGGGCTGGCACCATGATCAATAGCCAGATGCCCCTACATGTGGTTGCAATTAAGACTATGACCAGCCAACAATACATTGATGAAGTTCAACTGCCTTATGTTCCCATTTCCATGTTGCTCGATGATAAATTTCTTTTCATGCATGACAATGCACCATGTCAATGAACACTTGCTGTTCAGGATTGTCTAGACAGAAAGAATATTTAATGCCTCAAACGACCAGCATGTTCTCCAAATCCCTATTGAAAATGTTTGGGATGCTTTAGATACTTGCTGGTTGAAAATATCCTCCAGCAAACAAGGACACCCTCATCCATGCACCAACTAAGGAGTGAGATCAATTGTCTGAACAGCAGTTGGATAATGCTGCGCAAAGGATATGATGTGTGGAAAGTTGCACTGCATTCCATGGTGGACATGTCTCATACTGAAATGTTTCTCAAAGGTGAATGCTTGGAATTCGTGAATTCATATGGATTTTCTCATTTCTTTGCACACAGCATTAAAGGAATACTTTTTTCCCCTTCACTTTTGGACATTTCAAAACCTTTTTGTTCTCCTGAACAATAAATGTTCTTAACTCTAATGTCTGAACAATGTAGCAACAATATATTTGTCCTGCTTAGCCTTCAATCCTCCTTAATGTTATACTACATTGCAATTTAAAATCTGCCCTTAGCAACAGTTCAGCAGTGCATATAAACTGCAAACATATTTTGAAATAGAACAGAACCTTTTTTAATAATGTTCCAAACAGAGAAATACATTATGCTTTGCATAAACTAAAAGTATAAATTAAAGCATTACATATATGAAATTTTGTATCATTTTAGAGTTTTAATAACTCACATAAAAGATTTGCATAAAAATTTTAACTGCATCATCAAACAATGTATTGCTCAAAATAATTCGCTATTATTATAAACGATCTTTCCTGTTATTAATAACACAAGTTTGTACTGTAAACACAAAAACCAATCACAGTCATCATCAAATTCATTTCTACCATTATCTACAAAGTAATTAAGTCATCAGACATACACGATGACATTCAGTAAAACGTTTTATACAGCAATTATATTTAGAGACATACTTATCTGTTTCTATCAACATAAATACATCTTAAACATTTCTTAAGCACACATTTATACACTGAAAGTGTTTGCCAAGAAAGCTGAAATGCCAAGAACACATTTTGAAGCACAGAAAAAATTCTAAATCTGGTTTTTTATAACACACTTGGAAATTTATTCTCTCCTTTTGAGTGCTTATGTTGCTTGAAATCTAATAGTATGCCTTAATTCAGAGAACTGATTAAGATACGATAATAGATTGAAATTGCAAATAATGAAACATTTAATATGTAAAGCTTGCATAAAAATGGGGAGGAACTGATTTTTTGCAAAAATTAACTTGTAACTTAATATTTCAAAGAAGATTGATACAATATTGAAAGAAAAACTCAGAAAAGGCTGCATAAAATATTCAATTTGGCTAGTAAATGCCAACAAGAAAAATAAATTACCTTACACATGTTATAATTCATAGCTTGGGCTTACAGCACATATAAAACTTTTCTCAGACGAGACTATGAAGAGGAAAGATTTTGTAGAATGTATGTTTGAAACAAGCAAATTTAAACGTAATTCTTCCAATAAATGCTCATCAACTTTTCATTCAGAAAAAGTTTCAATTTTTATAATAGTAATAATGAGCATCATGTAATTATTATTGATTCATCTGAGGTATGTAACAGTTTATGATAAGTAAAGAAATTCAGAATAAAGCCAGATCTATAACTATGATGAATTACAATAATGTAGAATGGTATTCAACTGATATAAAAAATATATACATCATATTCAGTACATTTCCAGACACATGTACTGATAAGTCTTTGGCTAGTTTTGGTCTATTTTCATGTTTTATCCCTGATGATGAACATAAATATAAACCACTTTGATCTCTTAGTTTTTTGAAATAGCAATTTTAGGACATCTCAGATTAACATAACCCTTTGTCAATTTCCCTCCCCCAACCGTATAACATGCCACTGGTACTGACAGTGGAATGTTTATCAACACATGACAACTTGAGTGATGACTCATGCAGTGATGCATAAAAAATTTGTTTATATTAGTAACTGAATAACAAAGAGTGTTATTCGATTACTGATTTAAGTTAAATGTGCCAAGAAATGTTGACGAGGAAGTATTTAATAAAAATTTCTTTCCATATGCTAAAAATAGATTTTGTTAATGATACTCATAGGCTAGAAAGATTACATTTAGTGCTATATGAATTAAGAATAACTGATTTGTTATTCACATAAAGCAAGAACCAGCGCCAGAGCTCGCATGGCCACACAGAATTTAAGGAAGAAGAGTTAACAGAGGAATCCAAGAGTTGCAATTCCACAAAATCATTTTTAGTCCACAATTTCCAGCTAACAGAAGTCAAGTACAACTAAAAACTTGTTATTCATATTTCAGTAATCAATAAAATGAACATTTCTTAGCATATCTACAGAGAACTACTTGAAAGCCAGATATGTATATCACTTTAATCACTACCTACAGAAAAATTTGATGCATGGAACATGTTTCAGCACCATAACAATAGTACTGTGATAAGATTATAGAATTTTTCAGAATCGTCCAACATTATAATGTGTGGTATAATACTAATCTGACAAAATATTATTGAATGCAGTGCATACCAAGAACAATTTTCCAATATAATGTATGGTTGGTTCTCTAGTACTGAAATAGACTCAAAACTTCTGTTTGTGGACGACCACAATGACCAGGCATCTGCATTTGCCAGCCATTCTCGATTTACATTCTATATCAGATACATGAGATACACTTCATTGAAATATCAAAGATATCCTCTTAAGAGATTCCTTCAGAACAAAATTACGATTTTGCAATACACCAGCTGGACAATTATATTTTCATTACCTCATTTTTTTAATACACATACTGCAACGAGGTACTAAAAAAATTCTAAAATTCTATCTGCCACCAAAAATCAGTGGAAATGCAGAAGTTATGTTTTGCCAAATGAATTAAACACTTCACTGGGCAAAACATAACTTCTGGATGAATTAAACAATTCATTTGGGCAAAACATATATAACAAAATTTTATTATCATCACCAGAGTTCAGCTAAAGACAAATCCTATCTCTGTACTTGTCACCCTAGAATACAGATTTTTAACATAACTGAAATAATTTCATTTCAGAGAGATGGTCTGAAGAGATGCTAACATCATTTACTTAGTTCCTTGAAGACCAACACATACACAAATATATTCAAATACCTTACTTGTAGCATGAGATCATTTTAAACATTAAGTCATTTCATTGAGATGAAAAGATCAGCAACAAGTTTACTTACTACAAAAGCTTCTCAAGTGCAAAGAAATACTTCATTATAAACAAAACATTTTAAACTATCAAAATTATGTTGCACAATTTTGCAGTCTGTACTAAATAAAAGGTTCTTACTGCCCATGCTAAAAGATGTTATTACCACTACACATTAATATCGAACATAAATTTTTATTAATTAAGCTATTCATAAATCTGTTGAATAACAGCTAATGCTCCAACTCTACTATTTTAAGGCCCCGCTGTGAATCGATAAAATTACTATGCATTTTTATAAGCCAAGAAAATGAGTAAAGTTTACTTTAAAATTTCAGTAATTATTTATAATGAATAAATGTTTATACTGCTTGTTTCATACAAGTGATAGAAATGTAAAATAATAGATAACAAAAAGTATCTTCATTTACTGTGAAAGTACAAAATATACACAAAATTTGAATGCGGAAATAAAAAAAACAGAAATTCACTACAATTACAAATAAGTCTCTGCAGAATTCAAACATCATCGAAAATACCAGCCGGGGGTCTACCAATGTGAGTCCAAGTTGATCGCATATAACTATTATCCTCCACCACACATTCTTCATCAGGATGTAAATGTCTACCATAATCCCCATGATGATTTCTTTCTTCCGTGTAATCAATAGGTTCCACATCTTTCAGAAGCTCAGCACGGGAATTTTCTTCTGGGGATGATCCAGTTAAACCTTTATGAATAAAATTCAAGAAAATAGTGGGAGGGGGAAGAAAAAAATTAGCAAACTCAGAATATATAATACAAAAACTATCTCAAATATAAAGTTTAAAAATAAGCTAAGAAAACACTGCTATATTTGAGTACAGAAATCATTCAAATCAAAATTGCATCGTTTGTCAAACAAGCTATTAAACTAATGTATAAAAAGTGGGAAAAATAAAAGCAAGTCAGTGGAATTTTAATGAAAAAGTCACAAATGGAAAAACTTATGAAAAACTGCAAACCTTCACTTGAGAAATATTATAAAATTCAGTATCAACTCGGATTTCTTTGTCAGCTTTACAGCAACATTTGGTGAAATTCATTAAATGATATCTGAGGGGGAAAACATAGGAAAAAAAAGGTACCAGCAAAAATACCCTTTGCCACAATTTTTGCGAAAATAGTAATATAAAAGTATTTTTGTACAATAAAACTAAATTTCACTTTTATGGGGCAGATTCAAATAATTTAAACTTGTTCCAGGAAGGTGTAGTATTTGAAACTGCTTCTCGTTTTTTGGAAAAAAAGTTATTATTTCGTTCAAGTAGACAGACTAGTAGTAGGTAAATAACAATGGATTCACATTTTTGAACAGTTTGTCTGCATAGAAGCTATCAAGTGCATATCCTTCCTCTTCTGAAGGCACAATCACGAAAGGATAGACTAAACGTGGAGATTCGAAAGGCAAAACCCATTTCTTCCAGCTTTCTTGACTTAGCATATGAGGGGTTAAATCATAAAAGAAATACTGATCTGTTTTGGAAATGATAAATTAAGCAGGTGCTTCTTACTTCTCTTAACTGGCAAAATATTTTTTATTCTTCAAATACAAAACCTTTGACCTATAAGGTAGATCAGAAGTTGAAACCATTTACTTTTACCTTAATACACATTTACAAATTTGTTATGCTTATTCTGCTGCTACTTAAATGACATTTTAAAACTGTTCTTTCATTCATTCTGATATTACAAACATTTGTTGGAAACATCATCAAAATTTATATTTCACTATGCATTACTGAAAAATGGTTAATTATTTTATGGTTAACTATGAAACAATTTTGTACTCTGGCTGAAACGTAGCTCTAGGACTTTTACTTCAAATAAACAAAACTATGACTTCGTTTTTTTTTACTTTAACCATTAAATGCATGTAGTTGCCATTTGGCAACATATTTATATTTAGTGATGTAAATCAAATCAAAATACAAATTTTAGCTTACTGCATATTTTAACCAACTGGATATAGTATACTGTTTACATATATAGTTTTGAAAGTTTCAGTGTAATACTAACAGCGTAATGATCATTATTGTGAGTTGATGTGTAGGGTGTGGACATCATTTGTTTACAAATTCGTGATTTTGTGTTTGTTGTTATTTTTATGTATTCAAAGTTTTAAAATTGTTTGAACAAGTTTATAAGGTATGTATTATTACATAAAGTTGTTATTACAAATTTGCATATCATATGTTTTTTGCAAAATGTAGCCATTTGGCAACAGTATTTTTTTAAAAAATTGGAATAAAAACTTAGTTTAAATTTTTTCAATATTTTTTCTATTTTATTTGATACCAATTAATGTATTTTTGACTTAGATTTTAAAAAAATTAAAAGAATTCATGCATTTAAGGATTAAGGTTTATTTACTCATTTAAAGCATGAAATAGCAAGAGAAAAAAATGAAGCACAAAGAGCGCAAATTGTATGGAATGTAAAATGGAACTGTAATTTTTATTTCCCCAATTTTTATCCATTTTTTCTAGTCCTTGCCCTGGCAAAAATAAGTTTTTCAAACACCCAATCCTGACTTCAGGTAATTCACTTGGAGCATTCAAATACACTTCTCACATTTAATCAAATCCAAAGAATTATTAAAGTTAATGATTCTTAATAATAACCTTACAAGAAATATTTGTATTTTCTTGATAATCAGCCTTATCCTGACACACAAAATTTTACTTTAAAAAATCACAACTGCATACTTTTGTTGAAAATGCAATCAGAGATATTTATAAGGATAAGCTCTGATTTATGATAAAGTATAATTTGCTGTACAGCTGCTTTTCACAGAAAGTTGCTTTCCTTAGCTAATGATCTACAATTTAAAACAGGACCTAAATCCTCATAAAAAAAAAGATTTGACATGAAAGTCATCAAGCTCATAAAATAAAGTCATAAAGACATAGACATTAAACTATTAATCACATTACACCACTTTTCAGACTCCTTAACAATGCACTGGCTCTAGACCTATATCAATTAAATTGTATAAAAATTCCACACTATCACTTTGTATTCTCTTGAGACTTCATTTATTTTCTTTACAAATAAATTTTCTGTCTGTCTACCATTCCTTATAAACCTTACTTCTATTTCCAGCTTAAAACATATTTTGCTTTGTTTCATCACTAACTCTTCATATTACAATTTCATCAAAACATGTTACTGTGGGAAAAGTAATAAATATCAATGACATTTGAAACAAACTTATCATTTATACTCGCGACATGGAATTGTTTCATAAACATGGAATGAATTACCATTTAAACTGCTAATGAATTTTGCAAAAAAAAAGTGTTAATGTCTTCCCTGCTTAAACAAATTTTTTACTCAGTATGAAAGCAAGCCCTCACATTTTCTGAGTCCCATTCTGATAGTGTAGCAATGGATGTCGGCTAAAGAGGCTATAAATAGTCTGGTTTTAGGAACTGCCTTTTTTCTTTCCTCTTACGTGCTAAAAAAGCTAGCATGAATACTGGATGCAAAACATGTCTGGTGACATTTTCCCTCGGCGAATAGGAATGAGAATATTTCTCAGCAAGTGCTTCTGTTTCAGCTTGAAATCAATTATTTTTGTAACATGTGAATGTCTAAAAAATTCGTCCATTAAGATATTTTTTTCTCATCAAACACCTTTGTAGGATGATGAATAATTGGTTAATTCAGAATTAAATCCAGATGCCAGTTCTTTATGCCATTTTTTGTTCAAGTCATGAGATCCACCAAGCATTTTGGCTAAAAATAGTTGTCCTTTCTATGAAGTCCTATAAAGTTCCATAAGCATATCGGCTGAAAATAATTAAGGACATGCGATGTTTCACGATATGATTTCATGCTGCCTCCTATTCTTGATGAATTCGTGAGTGTTATATGATGAAACTAGCATTTACCTGTATTACATTGTGACTGAATTTGTATTTAAATTTCCACTACAACACTAATGTTCTGACTAAATATAGTTCTTCCAGGTGAAGATATTACATTTTCGTTTTGGGCACTAAGACTGGTAAATCAGGTAATAAATCAAGGTTTATCTTTTATCCAATTTTAGGTTATTAAGGCACACCAAAATCAAATCTCAAAATTCTAATCTATTTTTGGGTTACTGCAGCAGCAATTAAAAAAACAGTTAATTTTTATAACATTCAGGTTATTCAAAATTTTCTCTTACTTTACCGAAACAGTTATGCTATCATCCTGGAATCACACATAAAGGATTTCTCAAATACGCTATCATAAAAATACTCACTCACATACCATAATCGTTTGTGCACCTTAATAGCAGACTTACTTGTATCTCTTGCACTTGACTGCCTGTTAGATCTCAACAAAGCACTAGATGCAAGTCTACTTGATTGCCACCTACGGGTTTCATTCATTTCTATACGTTGTCGCCTATTTTTTTCTGAAAAACAAGACGGCACTGTTACAAATGTTATGTCAGCACTAGCATCTTAAGTGAAATCAATATATGAAATGTTAATATTGGTTCTTAATAACCATTTTAAAAAGAAAATCAACATGTAATGCTTTTAAAATATTTCATCTAGGCAGAATAAGAGAACATTTTATGAAAATATACAGTGGTGGCCAAAATTGTGGACACTTTTGGAAATTTTTATGTTTTTGAACTTTGTAAGCTTATAGAAAATGTTATGTTTCGCAAAATGCAAACTTGTACGTATCATTTAAAGAGAATTTTTAAGGAATTCAATACAAACACAAATTCAATTTTGCAATACAAAAAAAAATTTATATGTACTTTAATAAATAAAAAAACACAGTTTATGAAGTGGTTGTAATGTCTAGCTTTCCTAGCCAATCATGTTCTTGTTCTGAGAACCATTCAAATGTTAGTAACTGCCAGTCGAAGATTGACATCATGTTTACACTTGAAACATCATTATTTGCTTTGTTCTGTAGAAGGAATCTGTTTCTTATACACTGCAATTAAGTAGAATTTTTGTAAAAATTTTTTAATATTAGTCAAGAAGCAATGACATCAAATAAAAGAGTACAATGGACACCTAGAAAGAGATGTAATATATTGTGTTACAAGAAAGTGGTCTTTCCTATGCAGAAATTGCAAAAAGGTGGAGTGTTAGTGACTACATGGAGTCCGAAGTTTGTTTACGATTCAGGAGATAAAATTCAATAAAAAACAAAGATGAAAAAGTGCACACTCTATTGATGACAGAAGAATAAAAGACTAGTCTCCGAGATAGAAAAAGTCATCAGCAGCCATCAGAAGTGATCTGACTGATGCTGGTTTTCTGTCAGTTCAAGAACAAATCAGGAGAAGTAACAGATGTTGGACTGAGAGGTAGAATTCCACGAAAAAGCCTTATCTTAATTTTCAGCAACAACAGAACAAAAAAAAAAAAAAAAAAAAAAAAGACTACAGTGGGCAAGGAACCATTAATTGGCAGATCAGTAGTCAGAAGTTTATATGGAGTGATGAACTAAGATATCGTTATTCGGTAGTGATGGGCGAAAATATGTAAGACGTAGAATAGGAGAAGAGCTACATCCTGACTGCTTCAAGCAACTGTGAAAACCCAGTTAGAGGTATAATTGGTATGCATGTTGAATGGTATTGGTCGCCTTCATGTCACTGAGGGACAATGAATGCCAGAAAATACATTGACACTATTCTTAGAACCAAAACTTCTACCTTCCATCAGAGATCTCTTTCCAACAATGCTTTTTTATTTTTCAGCAGGATTCTGCTCCTTGCCACACGGCCAAAATAGCGAAAGAGTGGTTTCATACAAAGAGCATAAATTGTGTCATGGCCAGGAAACAGTCCTGACCTCAATCTATCAAAAATTTGTGCCGTTTGAAAACTCTGTCCCGAAGGCACCCATCATAAAAGGGAACTAATGAGGCTATAATTGTTTCCTGGCATCATGTAATAATGAAAGAAGAGCTTAAAAACTCTTGTCAGCTCAATGAAATGTCGATGTGAAGCTATAAAAAATAATAACTACTCTACTACTCTACTAAGTACTGATAACTCACTGCAATCATCACAATGTAGTGTATATCGATAAAACTATTATAGTTCAACTTTTTTTATGCAAATAATTGAATTTGTGTTGTATAGAATTCAGTAAATAATTCTTTTTAAAATGATAGATACAAGTTTGCATTTTGAAACGTAATTTTATAAGCTACAAGTTCAAAAACATAAAAATTTCTAAAAGTGTCCACAGTTTGGCACACGTGTATGTATATATATAATATGAATATATATATTGTAATATAATAATATAGTAATAGGTTATATAGAATTATATGTATATAATAAGATATATATATATATATATATATATATATATATATATATATATATAGAGAACAAACACATAAAAGGCAACCAGAAGTGTTATTTTTTAAAAGGTAAGAGAAATAGTAACTTATTTATTAAAAAAGTACTTTATCAGTTTAGAAATGTAGATTGAACAATTAAAAAAAAGTTTTCATGAAAAAATTCTTTATTCAATATACACTATATTCACTAATGTCCTTTTGCAGCTTTTATTTTTACAATCATTGGTCATATATTTACAAATAGAAAAGGCTTCAAATAAGAAACACATTTGTATTATAGCATTTTAAAATTTTAAACATGAATTTTTAAAAATTATGAAATCTAACTTTCATATGGCTCATAGGCCGCATAATTGCATTTAAAAGTTTAGGCTCATTCAGAAGAGAACACAGAAAATGTTTGACTCGCATACAACTAAGATTGATCATGATATTTAATTTTAAAATTCGAGATTGCATTCAGAGTCTCATACAATTTGAAGTGCTTAATATTTAGATTTGTGCTTAGCTAAAAATAAAACATTAGTTTAAAAAAAGGTTTGCAGCATTAATAGATTAAGTGACAAACATTGCTATACAGACTGCCGTGAAGTATTTTGATCAATACAAATTTTTCAAAAAGGAAATTTTATTCATGGCCAGAATTCAAGAATCTTATAGAATTCATGTTCCAGGAGACAGTGGTAGGCTTCTGTACTGGCATATAGCCAATTCATAGCATTATTTGGATAAATCAGAATTGGAAAAAAAATATCCAAGTATATTTTTTGTATAAGATTATGATACTAAAGAAATAAGAATATCTGAGAATATCATGTATTTCAAAACATTTGAAAATTTATAAATTACTTGGGCAAAATTCTTTCAGCATATCATGTGTAACAATATTATAAATTTAAAAATATTGCACACCACAAGAGATTATCATTGAATTTCACTATAACATTTTCAGCTATTTTCAAAGCTATGAAATTTTTGCATGCTTCCCCCAGCAAATCTGCTTTAAATTTGACTTCAGGGTAATTTTTGCATGTTGCTCCAAGCAAAGACCAGATGTCCTGCCTTTACTTCTGAAACTCTCCAGTCAGAAAGGGAAACTTAATTGGAGGTGGTGCTTCAACAAGAATTTCTAGTGGGTATGAGAAAAACGAAGAAAATGGAAGGAGTTTCACTTGATAAGTTAAAACCCTTGGGCAGTTCAATAAAAAAAAAAAAAAGAAAAAGAGATCACTGATGCCCCCTTTCCTACAGTTAGGTGCTGAAGCAGGTGTGCATTTCCATTTCTTGAATCTCGAGCATTATCTCAGCCTCATAAAACATTAAAATAATCGTTTCTGAAAAAGCATGAATCTCACTGAGCTATAAACTGAGTACTAGTCACCAATTATTGAATAGCAGAGCATGGCCAAAAACAACATTCTAAAATTATGGAACAAAACTCAGGAGCACAAGCTCTATCAATACACTGAACGGTTAAGACAGCTGAATACTGAGAATTTGACATGGGTTCTATACCAGACAAATGGGCAAGCTGCATGGCTAGTTTTCATAGTTTTTCCCAAGTGTTACATAAAAATAAGCCAATATTTTCTTCAAAAGGCCTTCCATGGAGACATATCTACACTTATGCAGATAGCCCACCCCCCGTATGCTTTACCATGTTCAAATAACTTAACCCCCAAATGCTTTAAGGGAGATTTTCTTCTTCCCTATTTTTAACTGGGCTATCAAGAGCTAAATCTCGATGTGCCACAACTGAGGTATAAAGCAGCTGGCAAAGCTAATGCCTGTAATACAAGCAGAATTTCAAAAATTTTATAAGCCATGGAAAATGAACTCATCAGCCAGTTGTGGCACTCACACATACCCTAGTTTAAAAAGGATTTCCCTTTGCTCTCTTTTCTCAAGCTGAAGATATTCTTCATTAGGAAGCTGATGCTCAACCAAGGACTGAAAGTCTTTATTCACAGATGAAAGTTTCTATTTCAACTCAGCATGAATCATTAAATTCAGAAATAATTTTTAAATGTCATCTAATTGTAGCAAAACAAATATTCACGAAACACATGCTACACCCCCCTGCACCCTATGATTATATCTTCGCTAAGTTTGGCATATAGAAGTCACTTTCTCTCCTTTAATTTTATAATGAGAGCAAAATTTTACTAAATATAACTACAGGGACATATAAACATAGAAAAGTGAAGTTTTGTAATTTTACAAAATCCCTTTTTAAATTTAGAAATCTCAAACATGAATATTTGCTTCATTTAAAACATTTTTGTTACAGGAAGATGTCTACCACCAATGGTTGTGAAAGTAAACACCCATAAAGATTTTTAAGGACATGGTGCATAAACACCTACCACAAGTAAGGAAATTCAGATTTTTGCTTACTTGCTGCAGGTGTGTGTACAATTGCTTAAGTACAAGAACTATACTCTGCAATAGAAACAGCAAGACTATTAAACACTGGCGGTTCATCTTGGGTTTGAATGCTAGCAGTTGAAAAACTGACTGCATGGATTTCTTTCCAATATAACATTAATGCATGAAAAAAAAAAGTCATTCATGAAGTCGCCCTCCATCCTTTCTAAGACACAAATCTCCAATCTACCATAATAGAATACCTTTCTATTACATAATTAAATAAAATTATACTAGCACATTGAAAAACATCACCTATTTCCCACATCATCTGCTACATGTTGTACCACACAATATTACATGACAGTTGCAAGCTTATAATAATTCAACATCACACCTAAAGTGAATAAAAAAATAGCTTGTCAGTTTAAGATAACAAACCAGTCGATAGCCGAGTGGTGCCGGAAAGATACTTATGAGGAAATTTCTTGAAGGTATTGCCTTTACTTGCATCACATATTGGTGACGGTATATATGCAGCCCAACAAGGTCATCCCTAAGAACCAAACATGTGATGCAAGTAGCTACAGTACTCAGTATTTATAACTATTCAGTACTAAGAGACCTACAGAAAAGAAGCAATACCAACAATGCATAACAAAATATATAAGGTGTGCAGCCATAAGAAACAACAAAAACTGCTGC